TGATCTTCAGAAATCATTCTAATATGCTGATTTATTATTAGAATTATCAACAGTTGTGCAGCCAAATATTTTTAAGTTACGCCTTCTTTCTTTGCGTGAACGTTTGGGCGGCGTTATGCAAATCTTCTCACATCGTGACGTAGACATGTGGGGTGTGTTAGAACGAGCCGTTTTAGGTAGGCGTGGTTGACTCTTAACTTTTATAAAGAATATCTCTTTGGATTTGAGACTTTAGTCTTTGCAACTTTACAGATCTTCTTTATGCACCAAGAGCTTGTAACACTCCAAAGAGAAAGGAAAAATTGAAATCGCATCATATGACCCCTTTAAACATTGACAGTCCCATCCAGCACAGTTTGTGCTAAGAACAGGAATAATAGCTCAGATTGTCTGCTCGTTGAGGAAAGGTGTGGGATAGGTTTATTATATTTAAGTATTGCTGTGTTTGTGAGATGGTTTGAAAGTGCCTGCTGAAAGCATTAAGGTGATGTAATGATTGTTTCGCAGTGGCTGGATTACGGCCATCTCTGTGCTCAAGACTAGCATAGCCGTGTCAGTGTTCATGATGGTGGTGGCTGGATTCTTCAGTGGCAATGCTGTGCTGTCCATTATCTTACTGAAAATGGTAAGTTAGGCAAAGTTGTAAGTGTGCATATGTGAACGTGTGGTTGTATACATCATTGTGTAAAATCGATCTATATTTATCTGTCTGTTTCTCTTTATCTGTCAGTCTTTACACATATTAAAAGTATTAATTTGTACCAATTTGGTACTAATATGTTGATCAAAGATAAACATTTGTTTTAAAGCATCAAAACAATGAAAGTTTAATACAGCTTTATTTATTTTTTCCATACATTAGAATGTGTCCTGGTTAATTTTACTTCTTGCTGAGCAAAAAAATGATGACTAGCCTATATGTATTTTATGGTTTATTATTTTACCTATTTTGCTGTAGCTAATTATACTTTCATTTTTACTGTATTATTTTCTGCTCTTTTTGGAAAGCACTTTGGTCAACTTGAGTGTTGGAAAGCGCTATAAAAATAAATGTTAATTTATTGATTTGATATCATACACTTTTACCACGATTTACAGAAAACACCCACTAAAATGTCATTCAGTGTAACAATAGTTCATATAATGAAAAATCTTGCCGGGCATATTTAGAACCACAATCATTAGTTATCATTAAAAGACTGTGTTTAAGGATCACAGTGCAGACCACAAAAACGAATTCATTTGGATTTAAAATCTGTACTTCAAACCACTCTGTCTTACTAGTGTTTTTTTAATCTTTTAAAATAGAATAAAATTTAGTATGATATTTTTTTTTCTTTTATATATTTTAATAAGTACAGGTCAGAATAAGTCGATTGTGTCAATTTTACAAAAATATATGTAATGCTGAATGACGCTGGAAGACTATTTCACCCATATTTTGACATTTTATTTTCACAAAAGCTATTTGAAACATTAAAGGAGACATTTTACTTTCATTACTATGCTTTTTATGTATATAAAATCGCTTTTGTAAAATTAAGTTTATGCGGACACTGAAATGGGATGTCTCATCTTTGACCCATATACACTTTAGGTACTAGTATGTACCTTTAATGTACTCATTTGCAAATAAGGTACAAAGGTGTAGCCTTTGAAAGGGTGACAGCCCCAGTGTCAGCTTTTAAACCTTTTTTTTCTGAGAGTGTATTTATATTGTTCATTACTTATTATGTACTTTTGTTCAAAACTCCAGTTTGGGACTTGTGCACTGACTTCCACTGTGTTTTCAGGTTCACTCCATGTACAGACACACAGGTGCGAGCTTCCAGAAGGCACAGGAAGAGTTTTCTCAGGGGGTCGTCACTAACCGAACCTTCCAGTCTGCTGCCACCACAGCTGCATCTTCAGCCGCACAGGGAGCCTTTCAGTAACAGCCACAGATACTGTTAAAGACTGACATTAAGTTCTGCACATGAACCTCCATCAACCCAAACCTCTTATGGAAGGACAATCTGTATTTGAGGCTTCTTAAAGCTTATGTTTTTTTTCCCCTGCTTGCAATACATTCATTTGTTTACTGAAAGTTGCGCGGCTGTTGATCGGTGAGGCACTTTAGATGATAACATGGGTTCTGTGAGAGTACAAGTTGTATTTGGTTTTATGAATGTTATATTAAGTGTTTCTGAGGCACTATTTAATTGGTTTATGTAATGTTACAACATTGTTACAATATAGTCCAAATTCCAGTCAATCCAAATTATACTTTCTAGTTTTGTCCTGCTATATGCATTTAGATGCCTGTTGTGAAATGCATTATTACATGTTGAATTATTCTAGTTTGATTTCGTCTTTATACCCCAACTCAATTAATTGTATGTCAGCTGATGTCTCAGTATTGGTTTTACAACATTTGAACAACCATTCCCAAACAAGAAATGTATATAGTCTTTAGAGTGAACCATAGTACTGTTGTGAAAAAAGTGCTGTTATCTGTTTGTTGCAGTCTTGTTACATTCTCAATCTGAAGTGATTTTGCAGTGTTCTTAATTACGAACAAAATATGTATATATTTATAAATTAAGCAGATCTTATTTTACTGTGGTTAACTTGGGTGGGCTGCTAAAATATTTTACGAGTTATTGTTAAATAAACTTTCTCTGATTAATGTTGTTTGTTACTGTTAATCTATATATTATTATTTATTTTGATAAACATGATACAATTTAACTTTAATACTACAGAAATATATATATATATATATATGAACACTCATGCCTTAAACACAATATCACACTGGTAGCCATGCAATACGGCTGAATCAGAGCCGTGCCGAAATCCAGACATATCGCATTGCTATTCGTGCGATATTGGTCATATTTGTATATAACCTATGTATGTGTGTGTGTACCTACCCCTTGCAGAATAAGCAAAATGTTAATAAGTTTCACAAAATAAGAGGGATCATGAAAATTGCATGTTATTTTTTATTTAGTACTGTCTTGAATGAGCTATTTCACATAACGGATGTTTATACTCCACACGACAAAATATAACTGAATTTATAAAAACGACCCCATTTAAAAGTTTATATACCCTTGAATATTAATACTGTGTGT